AGGAAATTTATGGAGCCCTTGCTCTGTAGGGGCCAGGCCTGGAGCTAAGAGCTCTGCCTCTGCTGGCTCTTTCGTTACCCTCCTACCATTATCATCCTGTTTGTAGGTACAGAAGCTAAGCTTCCGACAGGTAACTCCCCAAGGTCACAAAGCCAACTGAATTGGTGCAAGTTGGACTCTACCCAGGCCTGTTGGATTCCAGAAGAAACACAGCAGCTGAATATAAACGGCTGCTGGAAATGTTCTGTGGGTAGGGGACTAAGCCACTTTACAACCTGTTCGCTCCTTTTGTTTAAACATTCCATATTTACAGTGGGTGTGAAGGTAAAATTCAGTATAGTTCTTTTTTTTGCCAGTGCAAAAAGGTGTTTTTATGAAAGCACAGGGACAGAATCCATGGGCAGAAAGAGCTGCCAAATTCAGTATAATTCTACCAAAACGTCAAGAACTTTAGTAGAGCCCAATTAGTGAGTTTTCTTCAGGGTATTATCAATGGCGAGTTCACGGTTCTAGAAGACTATGTGACCTAACCTGTAGGTTGGCAAACTATTTTGTACCACTTTATTTTTTTTAATGTTTGTTTATTTTTCAGAGAAACAGAGACAGAGCCTGAGCATGGGATGGGCAGAGAGAGAGGGAGAGACATACAATCTGAAACAGGCTCCAGGCTCTGAGCTATCAGCACAGAGCCTGATGCAGGGCTCAAACCCATGAACTGCGAGATCATGACCTGAAGTCAGACACAACCGAGTCACCCAGACGTCCCCATTTTGTACCACTTTAATTCAGTGTTTTCACTGAATTAAAAGTCACCCTTTGTGACTTTTGTAATATGTACACACCACTCATGCTATTATTTACTTGAAATTGATTCACTGTTTTCTGCTTACTATTTTAGAGGAAAATAGTATCACAACTATAAGAACCACCAGTTTATTCAGCAAATATTTAGGGAGTGGGGACATGCACAAGGCAGTGGGGGTATAGTCATGAAAAATGCACCAAAAAGAATCCCTGTCTTCACGGAGCTAATGTTCAAGGGGTGACAGACAATAAACAAGTTTAAAAGGTAAAACAAATAGTACATCAGAGAATGATAAATGCTGAGGGAAAAAAGGAGGGGGTTATCAGGTGTCAGTGGGGAGGGTTAAAATTTTGGATAGGGCGGCGAGGGAAGGCCTCACTGAGAAGATGACTCTTGAATAAAGACCTGAAAGAGACCACCCCTGTGGAAATCCAACAGAAAGGCAATCCAGGGAGCGGGAAGAGACAGTGCAAGGCCCAAAGAAACGAGTGTGTCTGGGGCTCTCAGAGAGCAATAAGGAGGTCATGGGCAGAAGCAAAACTGGACAGGAAACTATTGCAAAAGTCCAAGCAAGAGATGGTGTTGGTTTGGGCCACAGTGATGAGAAATCATCAAATTCTGGAAATATTATGAAGGCAGGGGCGCCTGGGTGGCCCAGTCAATTAAGAGTCTGACTTCAGCTCAAGTCATGATCTCACGGTTCATGGGTTCGAGCCCCACGTCGGGCTCTGTGCTGACAGCTCACAGCCTGGAGCCTGCTTCGGATTCTGTCTCTCCCTCTCTCTCTACCCCTCCACCACTCATTCTCTGTCTCTCTCTCAAAAATAAACATTAAAAAGTATGTATCATGAAGGCAGAGAGAACACTTGCTGGTAGAACAGTTACACAGGGGAAGGGGCAGGGAATCAAGAAGAACCTTAGAACTTTTGGCCCAGGAAGCAACACATTTTTCTGGTTTTTGGTTTTCTTTCTTTTTTTTTTTTTCTTTTCTTCCCCCAAAGATCCTCTCCCATCCCCTGGATCTGGAGTCCTGTCACTTACGTCACAGCCTCCCCACTCAGTGGAAGAAATTTAGAAAGCACTGGTATTAAAAAGAACAGATTTAAAGCTGCTTTGTGGTTTTGCTTATCTGAAGTCTGTGTGTGTGCCACAAGTCTGCAATCCTGAAATGATTGCACCAGGAAAATTAGTGGGGTTTTTTTTTCAGGGATCCAGCAGACACCTTTGGAATCCTGAAGTCCTGTATGTTGTAAACATACTGAACACACTCTGAATATCATAAACATACTGAAATACTGTCTAGTGCAATTCTGGTACATAGATTGACTGGCTGGGTAGCAAGGAACCCAAGATTTCATAAGAAAAGAAATACTCCTGGCTCTTAAAATTTAGGCTATAAACAGATCTATACTGGATAAATTATGTACCACTTTTATCAGATGAATTAATGCAATGGTTTAGCATCAGAAGCTCAAACTTCAGTTTCACTTTTTCTGGCTTACTCGGGAGTTCAAGAAGAGGGCAGATTAAATATAGCAAAAGTATACAACAGTGAATAAGTTTCATGGTGAGCCAAGGCATCACAGAAGAAAAACAAGGTAATCTGATTTTATCTTAAACACTGGCCTGTTACTTTACCATTAAAATAGCTGTGGTGGTTAGGTTTAGAGCCAATGGTCTCTGTACAAAAATAATGCCTTTCTTGGCACTGATGTTATTAAGCATCCATCTTAACTGTTTCAACATAAAGAATAGCTCACGGGCCTTCTCAGTAAATAACCCACACTGCCTTCAATTAGACAAATGAACACATTTCTATTCCTGACTATATCCAGACCCTACAGCCATTTCACCAAATTATAAATTTTGACTATGATTTATGTCCACTGTTATATTGGATAGCACAGCAAAGTGAACATTTAAAATATGATCAAGGAAAGGACTCTCCTGTAACTACCTCTACATGGATGCCTGACTAAAGGTTCAAGATTGTTTTCTCCGCAGGGCTGCAGACCTACCTGTCTGGTGGCCCCTGGACTCCATGAGTGCATACCAAACTCACCTTTTACCCCAAAGTGCCCACATTCCTGTCCTCTGTATATCTATCTGTTGGTGACATCTCCATCCACCTGGTCAACCAGGTTAAAAACCTGAATTATCTTTGACCCCTCTCTACCCTTCCCTTTCTATTTCCAATTAAGTTGCTAGGTATTGCTCACTGAACAGCTTCCAAGCTGGCCTCCCTGCATCTAATCTCTCCCATCTTCTCCCCACTACCAGAATTCTCTTCTTCAAGCTCAGATTTATGTTATCACTTGCTTAAAAAAAAATCTCACATTTTCTTCTCCTATTTCTTATGGAATAGCCCCAACTTTTTAAGCATCCAAGGCTTTCCACAGTTTGGCGCTGATTCCCCCACTGTCTCATTTTTTATTACACCAGGTTTTCACTTATAAGGGTGACTAAGTAATGAGAGAGTGGCCAGTGCCATTGAAAGAGGTTTTATTGCTCTCAGTCCCCAAGAGAAGGGAGCACATCGCACCATCCAAAGCCACATGGGGAAGTACCAGCATCAGTAAGGAAGCAAAAGGAGAGGAGAACGCGACCCAGAACGTCTAGTGTGGTTTCCATGGGAAGGAATGGGTTGAGGCACAGTAGGCAAATTTGAGCGATTTTAGGATGGAATACTTTGAATAATGTCATTGGGCTCTGGGCTATAAGGGTGGTCTCCCATTGTCCAGTACTTGGCCCTGGGGTGATTTAGGGCAGGGGAACCGTTGGCTTGGTGTGTGAGAGTCAAAGGAAGTGGTTGGGAATATAGGCTTTCGATTGTTTGGTTAACGGAAGGTGTGTTCACAGGCAGGTTGTTTGTTACTCTAGGAATTCGCTCACTTGTTGTGGGATAGATGTCACAGCATCCTAAAAAGCAGGGAGTAAGAAAGATGGACTGACTCACATCTTCCTTCCCATGAACGCTTTGCTCATAGCTCTAACCCCAGAAAAGACCCATCTGTGTGAAGATCTACAGTGCATTTCTCAACACTCTCCACCACCCATAGCCATGACTGAATAGCACCCCCAAGTCTGGTAGCATCTAACTTTTAACCTTAAAAATAAAAATGCCAGTTACTTTACCAGCAAAATAGGTTTATCTGGGAATAGCAGAGAATGGCCGTCCAGGGCACGCAAACTACGGCAAAACCAGACAAGTCCAGAGAACAAAAAAAGCCGGCTCCTTTATAGAGGAGGTTGGGGAGTTGGGGAGACTGTTAGAACAAGAAATCCAATGGAGTAAACTAGGAGTTCAAAGTATAGTGGCTTCTCCTTGGCTGGGCGGTTGGAGGAAAGCCTTTCTTCCTCTTGCCCTCTTGCCCAGGTATCCTGTTGGATCTGCAATTAACAAAGAGTGATAGGCATGTGGGCTCCCCTACTGAACCTCCCGACTCCATTCTAATGAGGTTTCTCTTTATTAATTTTCCCATAACCATGATCCCTTCGCTACCCCTTTCCCCCAACTGAACAAGAGATAGGCACCCATCCAATCTACAGCGTGGCTGGCGATGTATCACTGTCATGACCCTGTTCAAAAAAAGACAACCTGAGCCAAATGGATTTCCTCTTTTAAGGATTTAAATTAAGAATCACAAAAGGAGATTGCCACTCCATGATAAGGCCCTGAAGTAAACTCAGGACCTTTGGGAGCCAGGGGTAGTCTGGTGCTCCTCCTCCTCCCACCCTTATCAATGCCAAAATACTACAAATAGTTCATAATTATCTGGGGCTAGTGCTGAGGTTTTGTTTTCATGTTTCTTCACTCTTCAAACACGAAGAGTATCAGATACAATGACAAGACTATAGTAAACCGGTCTGACTTGATCAGACCTCAGAGGGCGGTCACAGTGATGTCTCTTTAAAAGCCCCCAAACGTGTTGCAAAGCGTTTTTAATTTCATATAAACATGTAAAGGACCACATGAACACAATCTAGTACAGGTGCATCCATCAACTTCAAAGGGGCATGTCCAACTCCTTCACACGGGGCTTATACTCTGCGGGAGGATGTTGCGCGCGCGGCCCCTACTGCGCCCCGCCCCTGATCACGTGGGACCAAGTCGGCCGACTGTCGATTGCTTCTGCCTGGGCCGACCTGCCTGGTTCGACTGCTCCAGTCTGGCGCGTCCCCGGCGCGGGAAAAATTTCAATCCCTACTAACTGCCGCAGCGACCTCCCCACCCTTTACAACCCGGACCTGCCTCCGCTTTCTCCTGCTTTTTACATCGCGGACTCCGAGCCTCACACGAGTGGAAGCGGAGAAGTTCAAGCCGCCGCCGCCATGTCCGAGGCTTATTTCCGGGTAGAGTCGGGTGCACTGGGGCCTGAGGAGAACTTTTTGTCACTGGACGACATCCTGATGTCCCACGAGAAGATTCCGGTGCGCACAGAGACCCCCATGCCTCGCCTCGGGGCTTTCTTCCTGGACCGGAGCGCAGGAGCCGAGACTGACCACACGATTCCTCAGGTAAGCTTTTAGGGAGAGGGTTCCCTCCACCCTGAAGGACTACAATTCCCAGTGCGCCTTGGGGCTCCGCGGCGCGTGCGCGCTTCCCCGAGGGCTTTGTAGTTTTAGGGGGGAACCTGCTAAGGCATATTATATTGCCTTCCTTCTATCTCATGCCCAGCCAGGTTACCACATTGCATTTCGTATCACGTCTCCTTAGGCTGCTCTTGGCTGTGACAGTTCATTAGACTTTCCTCTTGGCTGTGACAGTTCATTAGACTTTTCTTGTCTTTGAGGACCATGATGGTTCTGTGGAGTGTGAGATAATTTGTAGAATGTTCCTCAATTGGGATTTGTGTGATGTGTTGTTTTTTTGCGTTTATTTATTTATTTCAAGACAGAGAAAAAGCGCGAGCGGGGGAGGGGCAGAGAGAGAGAGAGCGAGCGAGAATCCCAAGCAGGCCCTGCATTGTCAGTGCAGAGCCTGATGCGGGGCCCAAATTCATGAACCGAAAGATCATGACCTGAGCGGAAGTGGGGTGCTTAACCCGCTGGGCCACCCAGGCGCCCTGTCTGATGTTTTCCTCGTGGTTAGACTTGCAGGGGTAGGTTTTGAGGAGGAGGATCGCAGAGGTCAAGTGCTGTTTCTGTCGCATCATATCAAGGGCACATGCTGTCAACATGACTTAGCACATTGCTAAGAACCTCGAGCACCTGGCGGAGGTAGTGTTGGTCAGGATTCTTCACTATAAGGTTGCTCCTTTTTCCACCTTTTTCCTCCTCTTTTGGAGAGGGAGTTATTGTGCACCGGCTCACCTAAGGCATGGGACTTAGGCTCTGCTTCTTTGAGGGCACTGTCTATTCAAGGTATTTGAAATTCTGTGTGGGCGATTTGTTCAGGAAGCTTTGCAATGACACATTTATTTTCATTCAGGGATATAGGACTATTCAGATTTTCTATTTTCTTCCTGTGTTACTCTTGGAACATTGTTTTCTCCCCTAGGAATTTGACAATTTCATCCTAATTTTCAAAGATAGTGGTTTAATGTTCAAAATATCCTCTTACTATGTTTTTTACATCCCTAGGATTTATGTCGATGCTTTGATTTTTATTCTTGATATGGAGAAATTATGCTCCCTTTCTTCATTAGTCTTTCTAGGAGTTGATCGATTGTATTAATCTTTTAAAAGAACTGACTTAGGACTCTGTCAGTTTTCTCTTTTGTACTGTTGTTTTCTAGGTCATTACGTTCTTAATTCTTTCCTTCTATCTTCTTTGGACTTAATTTTCTATTGTTTTCCCCCACCCCCGGCACCCCCCAACCTTGTGTGTGCACTTTGAGCTAGGTACCAAGGTCATTGATTTTTCAACCTTCCCTTATGCATTTTTTTAGCTATACGTTCCCTCTGAGCACAGCTTTAATGCATTCCACACGTTTTGATTTGTTGTATTTTATTTCATATCAGTGTGTTCAAAATAATTTCTAATTTCCATTGTGATTTCTTCTTTGACTCATGGGTTATTCAGAAGACCAGTGCTTAATTCCACATATGTTAGGATTTTGCTCTTCATCTTTTTTATTTTTGATTTCTAGCTTAATTCTTTCCACCGTGGTCAGAACAGAGTCTGAATGTTTTCAGTCTTCTGAAAGTTAAGGCTTGTTTTATACTGTAGCATAAGATCAACTTAACCATTCCATATGCACTTGGCCAGACGTGTATTTAGAAGTCATTGTGTGTGGTGAATAATGTAAGTTAGATCAAGTTTGCTGTTTCCTTTGCTGAGATCTTGTATATTCTTATTGATTTTTTTGGCTGCTTCTCATTTATCTAGAGAGATATACCAGAGTCTCCCACTATGCTTATAAATTCATCCATTTCTCCTTTTTACTTCTGTCAATTTAGACAGATGCCCATCTTTTTCTTGTGGATATAATGACCCTTTTATTATTATTGTCAAATGTCCACTTTATCTCTAGTCTGCTTCTTTCTTTTGACTACTATTTGCATGGCAATTTTTTAACCTTTCTGTGTCTTTATATTTCAAATATGTCTCTTTTAAGCAGGGTATGGTTGGGTTTTGTTTTTATTCAGTTTGACAGTGTTTCAATTGTTGTATTTAATTTGTTCACATATAATGTAATTGTTGATATATTTGTGGCATTTTCCCCCTTCCTACTGCTTACTTTGTGTAAATAGTGCATTTCTGTATTTCTTTCTGGGATCATTTTCATTCCCCCTTCCAAGATTTCCTTAGTCCGTGTCTTCTAGTGATAAACTTTCTGTTTCTGTTTATTCAGGGGTTCCCAAGAGCAGCCCAGATTTAATGATTCATTAAGAGAACTCATAGGACTTAGCATCTAGTCATACTTATGTTTAAATTTTAATACAGTAGAAGGGTACAGAGCAAAACCAGCAAAGGGAAAGGGTATGTGGGATGCAGTTTGCAGGAAGCTGGACACAAGCTTCCCAGAGCCCTGTCCAGGCGGAGTCGCCCAGAATGCACTGGAATCCCCAGTAGTGCATTGTGATGGCATGGGTGAAGTGTGTGTCCCTGGGAAGGCCCTTAGAGACTTGGTACCCGAGGTCGTACCGCGGCTAGTTACACAGACACTGTACCTAACACATTCTGCGAGTCCAGACTCCCAGAAGGAAAGTGGGTGTTCAGCGTAAACCATATTGTTTGTGCAAACTGCGTAAACACAGCAAGGCACTCGTATCTACTCTGAGAAGAAGGGGAGCCCTCCTGAAACCCCAGTTCCAGGACACTAACCGAGGACCAACTGTGCAGGCAGACCCATCTAAGGAGGGTAGTCTCAGGCTTGGGTATTAACTTTGCACACTTTATGTCTGAAAATGCCATCAACTCAGTTATATTTGGCTTTTTTTTTATTATTTCTCCTAATTTCTGGTCTGTCATGGCGACCTCATCTTATTTTCTATTTCTGTTAAGGCTTTAAAAATATAGAGAGGCATGTGTCTTTACTGTCATCTCTGAAACTGAAGTGGGATGGAGAGGGGCTGTGGCCTGAGCTCAGGCTGATGCTGTTTTTCCATATATCACCCAGCACCCAGTGGTGCTTAGCGCATAGTAGGTCTCCAATGAGTGTGTATGAGGAATAGATATTGAATATTCAAAGAAAGCAGAAGTGCTTATTTTTGTGTTTTTAAAAATTTTTAATGTTTATTTTTAAAAGAGAGAGAGAGCGCGCGACCAGGAGGTGGGCAGAGAGAGACGGAGACACAGAATCCAAAGGAGGCTCCAGGCTCTGAGCTGTCAGCATAGAGCCTGATGCAGGGCTCGAACTCAACGAGCCACGAGATCATGACCTAAGCCATATTTCTGTGAGTTAGAAAACTTCCCCTTTGGACCACATTTTTGGTCTGTACTGTGCTCTTATTGAAAAACACCCATTGTTCTCAGCACTCCATCATGAGGGAACACTTGAGCCCATGCAGTTCATCTCTTCAAGTCACAACCAGATCCTCCGCTTGTGGTAGCCACGCCCCCAAACAGAGCAGGTAGCCCTGTTATCTGCTCGAGCAGCGTGGATTTCTGCGTATTGCCGCACGCGTGCTATTTGCCGCTATTTGCCGTTAAAATCTACCATTTTGTGTGATGCAGGGCTCAAAGCTCGAGCTCCCCTTGTGGCTGGCAAAGGGGCTCTATGACCACAAGCGCCGGATCCTCTCTGTGGACCTTCCCAAGATCTACCAGCAGGGTTGGAGGACCGTGTTCAGCGCCGATGCCAACGTGGTGGACCTCCACAAACTGGGGCCACATTTCTATGGGTTTGGCTCCCAGCTCCTGCGTTTTGACAGCCCAGAGAATGCGGACATCTCCCAGTCTCTCCTGCAGGCAAGTAGCTGACGTGAAAACCCTGTGGCGCCACACAGACCGTAGGGACCAGCGCGGCAGCCACCAGCCCCCACCCTTACCCAGGGAGGCGGATCACGTACACACTTCGTTCATTAGTTACTCCCCAGCGGCCTACAGTTAGCGTTTGCCAATTATATCTATACTTAAAAATGACTTGTCTGCGGCTCTTCATGTTCACTTGTTAAAAGAGTTGGGGCCGCAGGAAGTCCTGGAAGTAACAAAGAGATGATGGTTGATTATAGGTGACAGGCACTCAAATACGCCAGCCCGGCCCAGCCCAGGACTGGTCTGAGGGCTCCATCAGGAGTATATGTGTTATTTGTTCCCGTTCCTTGCTCTGGGCTAAAACGTGGCTCTGCCATGTGCTAACCGCATGACCTCTCTAGGCTTCCATTTTTCACCCGTGATTGGAGATAATAGTAGTGCCAAAGTTACCGCATCATAGTGAGATTAGGTGGTGCCGTTTAACAAATGATAACAGTTACTGTTACTTTCCACGGACAGAACAGTGTTAAACCTGTATTACCATCCTTTACGCTATAACCTTATTTTAATTTTTTATAATTATTATTATTTTTTAATGTTTTTTATTTTTGAGAGAGGTAGAACCTGAGCAGGGGAGGGGCAGAGAGAGAGGGAGACACAGAATCTGAAGCAGGCTCCAGGCTCCAAGCTGTCAGCACACAGCCCAGTGTAGGGCTTGAACCCACAAACTGTGAGGTCATGACCCAACCTGAAGTCAGATGCTTAACTGACTGAGCCACCCAGGCAGCCCCATGATTGATTTTTATTCTAATGTTAGAAGAAGCTACCCTTTCTACCTCTTAATTTATTCCTCATTTCTACCTTTATAAGAACTTCGGCTGAAAACACATTTCCTTCCTGGACTGTATAGACCCCTTCCATCAGGCTCAAGGGTTGTTTGGCCTAACACGTACTGGAGATGTTTTTCATGTAAATAGTAAAGAAAAACATTGTTGCCATCCATTGAGATAAAGAAAACAGTACATAGACTACAGGCAGTTTGAGCTTACAAAACTCTTTTGAGCAGAAAGCTAAAAATGAGGCAAGTCCGTTTCTTTGTCTTAGTGTCTTGTCCTTGAATTGGAACAGTGCCCGTTGTTAGTGACTTATATTTTTTCTTTTTCCATCACTGCTTTCATGTTCTACAAAGCTGCCTTTTGGTAAAGTGACAACTCCATGAGGCAGTTGAAGAAACTGAGGCAGAGGCTTGTGGCTTGGTCTCAGGGCCCTATGGTAAAATAACAGCCCTCGATTACTTGTGTCTCTCCCCTGCTCTCACACCGAAAAAGATATAAAATGCATTTAATTAGATCAGGATTCTTTTCTGGTTCAAACTTGTATGCAAGTGTCTCGTCGCATTATTGTGGCCTTTGTTACTAATAACAATAATGGGTAATGGTTTTTTTTTTTTTTTTTTTTTGGGGGGAGGGGAGGGACAGAGAGTGAGGAAGAGAGAGAATCCCAAGCAGGCTCCACACTGTCTGCGCAGAGCCTGACACGGGGCTCACGTTAACAGGCAGTGCTTTTTGAGCAGCTTACTCTTGCCAGCCATTTGCTAGATATTCTACATGTACGTCTTCATCGGCTACCGTAACAGCCTATTGGATATTCATAACCGTCCATTTCACAGATGAGGAAATTGAGGCGTGACAATGTGAAATCCCTTCCTCGAGTGGTAAAGATATCTCGGACCTCCTTTTGACTGAATCCTAGACCAAACTCTTGCCCTTCATGACATTTAAATGTTCGGGGATAAAAATGGGTCTGATTTTTTTCACTCCCCTCTCCTTCAGACCTTCATTGGACGTTTCCGCCGCATCATGGACTCCTCCCAGAATGCTTACAACGAAGACACTTCGGCCCTGGTAGCCAGGCTCGATGAGATGGAGCGGGGTTTGTTTCAAACTGGGCAGAAAGGACTCAATGACTTTCAGTGTTGGGAGAAAGGACGCGCTTCTCAGATCACAGCTTCCAACCTCGTTCAGAACTATAAGAAGAGAAAATTCACAGACATGGGAAACTGAAGGCCAGATGGACACAGAATTGCTCCTTGTGGAATTACTGCTCTATGTGTCCTTGATAGGAGCCTCGTTGACTTTGTACAGGCCACATCATGGCTTATTTCGTGCAGCAGTCTCGGAGTGGCTGTGTGTTCGGGGAAGGATGGGCTGGAGGATGTCTCTGGCCTGTGTGGCTAACAGGACTCTCCCACCCTGCTCACCCCCAGCCGGGGAGAAACCAAAGCCCTTTGTAAATAAGGACGGTTGCCACATACATCACGGTACAATTGGAACTGGGATCCCTGGACAAGACAGATGAATGGTATTAGGGCTTTTACTACAGAGAAGGCATTGCTCTCCTCCACAGTCAGGGCTTCGGGACTGGGCTTCACAAAACTCTGCCATCAGCCCGGAGGGAAATGGTTAACCTGAGCTTGTCTTTTGCGAGATCTTTAGAGCCACCCACCCAGCAATCCATGCCCTCACTAGGAGGCTGTCATGGAGTCATTTGGAGCTGCAAAGTAGTTATTAAAGGGTGTTAACCAGCCCGTCTTATTTTGAAAGCTGGACTTTAGGGTTGCTGGTTAGGCAGAGCCCTGTTTCAGAAGCTGAACGTGGCAAATGAGTGGGCACGAGACGTTGCCTGTGTTTTTCCTCTTCGGTAAATTTTGCAGCATTATTACCTAGAGGATTCCTGACCATTTATTGAGAATCTGCTTAAGCAAGCTCAAAACTCCTCTTCTGGAGATCAAGGCGGAAACGTCAGGCTGTGTAAGAAACTTGGTTCCCTGCGGGCCACCGTCTGAAGGGCAGTTGTCTCCACACCAGCTTCCCACAACCAATGTGACTGGCCTTTGTCATTAGAAACTATAGAGAGCTTTGGGCACTCAGACTGTGCATATGTCTCAGTGCAAGCTTGGAGTGCCACAATGGCTCTCGAAATGCATGTTTTAAGACAGAAGCGATATTTTTATAATTTGATATTGGTGCTAAATAAATGACCCACTTAGCGCGTGCATACATTCTGCACAAGTGACTGTTTCTGTAACTCGAGTACTACAGGCGATCAGACAGAGCTCGCAAGACTTTTGTCCGTGATCATATTCCACAGCAGTGCCCAACTCAGTCCATGTTTCAGTGGCCGCTCTCTTCTTTGCACCAGACGCATGAACATGAGCTACATTCCCTGTAGGAACGAGACGGGCCCAAGAAAGGTGGGGCTTCATGGCTGGCACAGCATTTACAGCTAGCTGGGGCCCCAGAGATGATTCATAGTCAGACTGAGGAAAGTATAGTCTTCGATTTGGGGATTGACTGTTTTCACAGATAGCTTTGTGTTTAAAGGCAGTCCTAAGGCTCCTGCCATTTGTTTTCTCTTATTGCAAAAAAAAAAAAAAAACACAACTGCGCAGGAGCCACATGCCAGGAATACGTGGGTATGCATGTGCAGAATCCATTCCCTGTTTTACATTTTGAACAGATTATTACAAATAGCTTTTGAATCCTATATCCAGTTACAAGTCTGCCTTCAAGCCTGTCAGTTACCACCCTGTCCCCCGCAGTCCTCCCTGAATCAGGCTTTTGGGTCACTCTTTGATCCCTTCAAAGAGGTGAATTTTTCCAAATGAATCAACAAATAACTCAAATACCAAATTGCTCTTAAAATCAAGGTGGGGAATGTGTGCCCTTTCCCCTTAAAGCTCTGTTACCAGCTAACTCTGGACTGAAATGACAGACCTCAGCATTTTCAGATTTTTCCCTGGGATGACCTGGACTGTCAGAGGAATGGGGCAAGTCTTCGTCTCCTGGGCCATCCCTCCCGCTCTCCTTGACCTCTGAACTTGACACAGTCCTGGGTTCAGTCCTTGGGGCTCTCCTAGCCACTCCTACTGTGAGGGCACCTCTCCCCTCCTCAAGCTTTAAACACCATCGTTGTGCTGTTGACTGCCCCAAGTTTGATCTCCAGCTCAGACCCCTCCCTCCAGCCCCAGACTTGCATCCAGCCACCCGCTTGACATTACTACGTCACCATCTGACCCAACGTGGCTAAAACAGCTAATCTTACTCAGTCTGCTCATCCCATAATTCTTCTCTCTGTTTCTGACACCACCATCCCTCCCCATTGCGCATGACAGAATCCTACGTGCCTCCTTGGCCCTCCCCTCACTCTCTGTATCTCATTTGGGTCTGCCTTCAAATCTGCAGAATCTGACCGACCTCTTCCCCACCTCCAGTCTTGCACTGAGTGGTTGTGGCTGCCTCCCAACAGCCTCCCACCCTCAGGCTTCACTCTGTAGCAGCCAGAGTGGTCTTTGTTCGACAATGAATCCAATCTTGTTCACTCTCAGCTCAAATCTCTCCCATCTCCGGAAAAAAAAGTCCACTCTGCCATCCTTTTGTTAAAAAGATCTCTTAACCCCAGTGATCTGGTTACAAGATATCGGATACACACAGAAATAATTTCTAAAAGACGATTCCATGCCCTCAACCCAAAGAAAAGTGTCTGAATTTGGAGTTCTGTTGCTAACTCAGGATGTCACTATTTTGAATGAGCAAATCTGTTCTCTCCTGTTCCACTATCCTTCAAGAAACCCCAGAAGAGCGTTTTCATCTTTATGCTTGAAACAGTAGTGCTTAAGTGCAAATATAGTTATTTTATACATCTTAGCAAAAGAAAATAACTATACAGAGGCTGTATGTGTGTTTCTGAAAGTGGATATCTTTGTGTTTAAGAGAAAAATCTAGAGGCACTTGTGTGGCTCAGTCGGTTGAACCTCTGACTTCAGCTCAGGTCATGATCTCGTGGTTCGTGAGTTCAAGCCCTACATCCGGCTCGCTGCACTGAAGCTACTTTCAGCGCAGAGCCCGCTTCAGATCCTCTGTCCCCCTCCCTCTGCCCTTCCTCCACTGGCACGCGTGTTCTCTCTCTCTCTCAAATAAACAAAAAGAGAAAAATGTATACTAGAAGTAACTTTGTTGAACAAAATGTAGGATAGATACTTAACTCTAAGAACCTTAATTTTGTCGGGGCGCCTGGGTGGCTTAGTCGGTTAAGCGTCCAACTTTCCCTTAGGTCATGATCTCGTGGTTCGTGGGTTCGAGCCCCGCGTCGGGCTCTGTGCTGACTGCCAGCTCAGAGCCTGGAGCCTATTTCAGAGTCTGTATCTCCCTCTCTCTCTCACCCTCCCCTGCTCACGCTGTCTCTCTCTCTCTCTCTCTCCTAGAAATTAAAAAAAAAAAAAAAAAAAAAAGAACCTTAATTTTGTCATCCTTATCTAATATGGGTGAAATAAACTGAAATGTTCTATATCGGATACACACAGAAATAATTTCTAAAAGACAATTCAGTACCCCATACCTAAAGAAAAGTGTCTGAAATTGGAGTTCTGTTGCTAACTTTTAATGTCACTATTTTGAATGAGCAATAAACTCCCCCCCCCCCCAATCCTCAATGGGTAGTGAATAAAATGGGTATGCAGCAAGGGTAAGCCTCCCCTACTAAGAGCAGATGATTAACAAAGGTGACCAACCCATCCTGCTTTTGTCTGACCTCATTTCTGAGACACAGACTCACTCAGGACACCAGTATTCTCTTCCCGGTATGTTATCCGGTATGTTCTCTGGCTGCCCTTGCTGTGGTCTAGGGGAAGGTACAGAGGAGACTGCCCCCAGAAGCCAGAGGTCTCCTTTGTGTGTCTGTTCTTCAGAGATCAGAGTCAAGTCAACTAAAGGGGCATCGTTTCATTAAACCCTTTGGTTTGGGAGTAGTTCTAGATTTACACAATAGTCATAAAGCTGATATAGAAAGTTGCCCTATAGCCTTCACCCAGTATCTTACACATAACCATGGTAGTTTATTAAACTCTGTTAGCTAAACCACAGGCTTTCTTGAGATTTCACCGGATTTTCCGCTAAATGTCCTTTTCCTGTTCCAGAACGCAATTTAAAATCCTATGTTGCATTTAGGGGGCAATCATTTTGAAAGCCAAAAAGAACATCCGACTCTTCCCTATGTTAATTTCAGGAGTTTATCTTATTAGAAATGTTTCATTGCATTGATGTAGGTAACTGGGCCCAAGCAGGGGGCTTGTTAGGCCTTGCCCGGGAGCAAGCTGCCAATAAGCTCATCAGGAGGGCAGAGAATTTGCTTTTCACCTGAACATTTCACTCCCCAATATTTGGAAAAGGCCTCTTTAGTTTTTCTTACAGCTTTTAGCTTTCTTTCTCTGACAGCAAGAACAAGATTTTCTCCCCTTTCCCTTCTGGCACATACTAGCTAATTTTCTTTTGTGTCTAAATGAGTTTAAAAAGAGCACAGCTTCATATACCAGCATTATTAACAAGTGTCAGGACAGCTCTGAAAATAGTGCCTGAAAACTGCCAGTGTTTCAGACTCCATAAAGGGAATGCACCCAGCTCATCCTTGCAAACATCTCCCACCTATGGCCAATTAAAAAAAGAAAAAAAAAAAGCCCAGAGTTTTAAGTCTTTGTGACATTCTCTGCTCCCGTGTCACCCTTGAGAGTTTATTTGGTTCCTACACAATGTCAGTGACTCCCTTTGTGCAAGGGAAATTCTTCCCCAGGACAGTTTCTTTTCTTGGGATGCGGAAAACCAAATGAGCAGCTAAGGAATTTGGATTCAAATGGCGCCAGGAAGACCAGTCAGAGCAGGGGGGAAGATTTATTGAAGGGAAGGTGTGGCAAAGATACGTGTGGATGCTTGAAGACTGAAGACAGAAACTGGGACTAAAAGTCGGCGTTTGCAAGTCACAGGAAGGGAGAGATGAAACAGCTGTTCGCAGAGAGTGGCCTTACCTTAATGGGAACAAGAGGGCTTGAAAAATCTCCTCAAAAGACACTGTCACTCTCTAACTTAGCATTTCAGGTTCACTTCTTTATCCAAGACTCCAGATAAATTTTTTTTAAATTTATTTATTTAGTTTGAGAGAGAGAGAGAGAGTGCAAGTGGGGGAGGGGCAGAGAGAGAGGGAGAGAGAATCCCAGGCAGGCTCCATGCTGCCAGGGCAGAGCCTGAAGCAGGGCTTGAACTCAAGAAACCATGAGTTCATGACCTGAGCTGAAACCAAGCGTCCAATACTTAACCGACTAAGCCACACAGGTGCCCCCAGACTCCAGATAAATATTAAGTAATGTGCCTCTTTTCAAATAACCGAGAAGTCCAGGAAAGGTTTTTTTCAGGTTTTGAGCCAACCCAGACCTTGATCAGAGGATTTTACGGGCTAACAATCTACATCATTTCAGAGATTTTTGGGGGGAGCTGCCCATGTAACATGATGCATCCTGTCTGTGTGTGGTTAGCAGGGAAAAATAAGTTCTCCACAACTTTTAAGGAATTTTTAAAAGACATTTATAAAAGTTGAAAATCTCACTCCATTTTGAAAGACTGTTATCTCCATAGACTGTTGTGATTTTTTTTTTTTTTTTACTTTTTTAAGTTTATTTTTTGAGAGGGACAAAGACAGCACAAGTGGGGAAGGGGCAGAGAGAGGGGGAAAGAGAGAATCCAAAGCAGGCTCCGCACTGTCAGTGCAGAGCCCGAACGCAGGGCTTGACCCCACAAACCATGATATCGTGACCTGAGCCAAAACCAAGAATGGGGCTCGTAACCAACTGAGCCCCCCAGGCACCCCAAGGCAGTTGTGCCTTTTTGTCACTGCAAATAAGACAAACCATAGGAAAAAAATGTGTCAGGTTATTTATCTGTATTTGTCAAGAGGATCGTGTGTAGCTGAGTTGAATGGAGATGACGTATTGCCTTGCTTAGTTATGGCCAAAGCATACCCACCTCCTTCGATGTCGGCCATGAGCTGTGTGGCAAGGGTCCGTGGGGACCTGCCCCAGAACAGATCTCTCAGGAAAGAGGTTATGTCTTCAGGCCCCACAGATGATCGTTAACTTGGGGAAGCCAAACAAAAAGAACTAATGTGGGGGTGACTTCTTGATAGTATTTTCCTTGGGACCCCTTTCTTTAGTGATCTCATCCCTGTTTCTTCCTAGAAATGTAATGGTTGGTAGATGGTGGCCTGATGACCCACTCATCCTCTGTCTGACTTGGACCCAAGTGCAGGAAGGTGCAGGCTAAACAGTTCTCACAGTCCTGGGGGTCGTAGGGGAGCTGGGGCTTTCCTCCTTCCCCAGGGGCCTCTCCCAGTCTCTTACCAGTCTCCAGCCTCCACTCTGGTTTTGTGCCCAGAATTTGTTTTGGAGGCCTCAAAGGCAGAGACATACCAGCCTTTTCCAAGTTCTTCCCCAAATAAGCAGATGATGGAATAATGGAGTGAGTGTTTCCTATCAGATCTCCCTAGACTGGTAGTTGCAATTGCGACGCAGCTGTTGGGGGGGGAGGGGCGGTGCATGAGGACCAACTAGCAACTAGCACAGGCTGTTTAAAAATCACTTTTGGGGGCGCCTGGGTGGCTTAGTCGGTTAAGCGTCCGACTTTCCCTTAGGTCATGATCTCGCGGTTCGTGGGTTCGAGCCCCGCGTCGGGCTCTGCGCTGACTGCCAGCTCAGAGTCTGGAGCCTGTTTCAGAGTCTGTGTCTCCCTCTCTCTCTGGCCCTCGCCTGCTCATGCTGTCTCTCTCTCTCTCTCTCCTAGAAATAAATAAAAATTTTTAAAAAATAAAAAAAAATAAAAATCACTTTTGTTTGTTTAACTAGTCTCTATGCCCAAGGTGGGGCTCAAACTCACAACCCTGAGATCAAGAGTCACATACTTTACTGACTGAGCCAGCCAGGTGCCCCTATAAAAAATATATATATATATATATTTTTTTTAATGTTTATTTATTTTTAAGAGAGAGAGCAGGAGCACGGGAGATGCAGAAAGAACGCCAAGTGGGTTCCACGCTGGCAGCAGACAGCCTGATGTGGGGCTCGAACTCACGAACCGCAAGATCATGACCTGAGCCAGAGTCCTTTGCTCAAGCAACTGAGCCACCCAGGCACCCCAGAAATACTTTTTATCATGTTATATTCACATGTAAATACATAATAGAATATATGTGCCCTGTCTTTAGATTATGAAGTATTGTAACATGAACACCTGTGAGCATCCACTCATTTAAGTTCTAGAACATAATCAATGCTTCGGGTTCCTGGTGCATGGGAGAGTAACCACCCCAGAGTAACCACTACCCTGGAATTTATGTTGACTACCCCCTTGCTTTATATATCTAGTGAATACGTTATTTTGACTTGGTTTTGAACTTTGTGAAATACCACACTGCATGTCCCTTGGCTCTTTTACTCATTTTTATGTTCAAACTTTCAGCCACGGCTACTGCAGCTCCTTTTATGGCATCCTACCGAAGGAACGTGCCACAATTTCCATAAACCTTCTCTTATCGCTGGACGTCTGACCCACATCCAGTCCTTTTTTCTATTACAAACATTGTCACTGTACATGTTCTGTGACACATCTGAGTCATTTATTTGAGGGTTTCACTGGGAAGAGTTTCACCTAAGAGTGAAAATGCTGGCTTGTAGGCTCTGTGAGTGCTCGATGTCACAGGAGAGTGCCAAAAGGTACCGATTTACTCTCCGATCAGCTATGTTTAAGAGTCCTCCTTGGGGCGCCTGGGTGGCTTAGTCGGTTGGGCGTCCGACTTTCGCTTAGGTCATGATCTCGCGGTTCGTGGGTTCGAGCCCCACATCGGGCTCTGTGCTGACTGCCAGGTCGGAGCCTGGAGCCTGTTTCAGTCTGTGACTCCCTCTCTCTCTGACCCTCCCCTGCTCACGCTGTCTCTCTCTCTCTCTCCTAGAAATAAATAAAACATTTAAAAAAAAAAAAAAGAGTCCTCCTTATTGGAGTTCTTAACCTTTGCGCACCTAATGTGCATAAAATGATAA